AATGACAATAATTGTTTTATACCAATCACTTCTGAAAGTTGCTAATGACTTTGAAGGGCATAAATACAAGCCTTTTTGGTAGCAGGAGGACCAGTAACCCATTCACCTTGAAATTAAGAAGAAATATATCAAAATTTGCATTGCCTTTTGAAAACTCCCTTTTTCCTATTTAATTAAAAATTTATTCATTAGTACTGAAATAACAACTTAAAATCTAGACAAAATTCAAGATATAATTTGTTTCTATAGCCCAAACTAAAGTAGTACCCTAGCCATTTTGTATCTTTTATCAATGAGTAATTCATCGAACTTTCTTTCCTATGATATATGAAAATGGTATCTTTAATATTAAAGACCAAACTCACACGCACATACTTTATAGACTATACACTTAAGATGTTTTAATGAAAAGAACACGGGCTTTGGAGTAAGATAGACCTGGGTATATAATCTGACTCTGATTTGCTCTCTGATTGGCTTGTAACCTTGAGCAAATGAACCTGTGAGTTGGAGTGCGTGCCCTCTTCCTCATGCTGATGTGGGAAGAAAAGCAGTGAGCACAATATCTGAGCTCAATGACTCTACATCCTTCCCTTGATGGATGGCAGCTTCTTCCCCCACTCAAATGCTCAATGTCCTCTAGGCCTTTGTTTTTTAACCCAAGCTCTAACAAAGTGATTTACAGAATGGATGATTGTACTTTAAAGCCTATGAGTTCTAACTTGCTACTCTATGGATTTATTTTACTTTTTAATACCCCACTGTGAATAATAGAGTATTTCTTGGGAAAGGATGTTAGCCTGCTTTGGGGTGGATATCTAGGGCCTTAGGAAGTTCTGTGAGAACACAGCATTTGTATCCTTGCTGGGTGTGTGGTTGGTACTCTTTCTACTTTGTAGCTGGCTGAATTTGGATTTTGGAAAGAGAAGAAACCCATCTCATTTGCTCTCCCCTGTCCACCCCCCACCCCCACACTCTCTTTGTTTTAAATTCAGGGCGCTCTCCTTATATTAGCACAGATTATTTAGGCTGTTTCAGTTTTTGACACTTCAAGCCTCTTTCCTCAGAAAGGAGCATGCACACTCCCTGGAATAACTCCTCTCTTCTTCTCAGTACTCTAGCATGCATCATTGATATTTTCTAACATCTTTAATCTTATTCTATTTAGAATTTAATGATATTTTCATGCGATCGGTAGTCACACCCTTGACAGTATTTGATACCCTAATATTTCCCCTGCTTCCTGATCCACTCTTCTCCCCGATGGATTTTCTATCAGTCAATGTGTTTACAAGTGTTCTCTTCCTTAATAAAACCATTACTGTAGATGCAGTAAAATTATGCTGGAACATTAAAAGCAATCCAAGTGCTCTGTGATCTTAGGCAATTATTTAACCTCTCTTCCATCAATTTCCTCTTCTATCAAATGAGGCTAATAATAACCCTTCCTCAGAATGATGCTGCAATGATTAAATTAGATAAGCCATGAAAATACTCACTTATTTGCATCTATAATTTATATATGTACACATATTCAAATTGATTATTCTTTTTCATTAGAAAAATGGTCTCTATGGATTCTTTCCTTTTTTTGTCAGCCAGAATGGGATTTTGGTTACATTAGAGAGGGGAAGGATAGTTTCTACACTGAGTGTATAATTTTGGAAGTTTAAACTTCTCTTCAATAATTGAATTGAAAATAAGATCACTTTAAAAGTACTCTGGAAGATATGTTGTATAAATGTGTTACATTAGTTTGCTCTACTGACTTGATTTCATTTTCTGGAATTACTACCTCTGATTTAATTGCTTTTATAATGTGGTCTACATGATTTCTGCAATTATTTTAGTTATTCTCCTAGTGGGAAATTAACTGAAACAGTCTTCAAAAGTTATCGTTTAATCTCAAGTTTTAAAATGTCTCTCAAATAGTCATATTTTAAACCGAGGAATATTAAAGATCAGAATTCAGGTAAAATTATTTTGTTGTTCATTCTTTATCTATCTTTACAAAAATTTCCAACTCTCTCTCTCTCTTAGTTAATAAAGTTTATTAGACATTAGAGATAAAAATCAGGAACCAAGGTCAAGTCTCCCTCTAGTATCCCCCCAGTCAAATAAACGTCTTTGGAGAAGTTTAGCTTTCAAAGCTGTACTAAAACAGAAAGACTTCATGTCCTAAGAGAGAATCACTCAAATTATGAGTGGGCTTAAAAAGTTCATGGTAAATTGGAAGTAAAAGCTAGTTAAATTGGTGCTTGAACATTTTGAAGTCCCCTGTATGAGACCCTTCCATAAATATGTGTACACTGTTGAAATACATTTCAGGGATCATGTTAATTTTGGTGCACGACTGAGGTGGTGTTTCTCAGTTTGTGTGCCCTCTTCTCTTCCTAGAATGATGTTCAAGTGTTTGATTTTCATTTACCAAAAAGTTAAAGTTTCTGCATTATTCTTATGGTTTTGAGACTCTATCATCAATTTAGTTGTATTAGAAAAAGTAGTTAGCATTGAAGGAGGTTGACTAATTCTGCTGATTCTGGAGGTTTTTATAAGACAATCAGAAAGCTATTTAAGTTTATTCCATAGATCCCAATGCTCCTTTAATATGAACAACCTCAACGATTATATATCCTGGGAAAAATCTAACTATTTCAACATTAATATTATAATAGGATATAAAAAAGAGTCAGTTTCTATAGAAATTATGTTCATATGTTCATTGAAAATCACGCTTCCCTTTTGTTCTCAGTTCTTCATTGTATTGATTAAGAGAATGGAATCTCTCTGAAGTGTAATTTGATACTGGATCCATTATCATTAGCTGTATGATTGGGGGAAATTGATATAAACACTCATTTTAGCAGTTTTATCATCCATAACTGTGGTAATAAAAGTACATATATCTCATAGGACTGTTCTAAAGATTAATTGAATAAATATAAGCAAACCCCTGAGAATAGTGCCTGCTATGTAATAAGACCTCAAGAAATGATATTAGGTATTATTGTTGTTGCTATTGTTAAAGAAGTGTTAAAAATGTCATAATTAGATATATGATAGTATTTTGTTTAAATGTTTTGAAACCCCTGAATTTAAAAAGCCCATTCAACAATTTTTGAAAATTTCATGGAGACAGGAGTACAATTTTTAAGCTAATTCTAACCTAAAAACCAAACTTACTAACATTGTGTCTATTCTGACTTATAGCAACTCTACAGAACAGGGTAGAACGGTCCCTGTATGTTTTTGAGCCTCTAACTTTACGAAGGAGAAAAGCCCCATCCTTCTCCCAGTGAACAGCTGGTGGTTTTGAACTGCTGACCTTATGGTTAGCAGCCTAATGATTAAATTAGGGCTCTTAGCTAATAGATTAAAAAAAATAATTTGTATAGAAAAAGGACTCAAAAAACAAAGATAAAATTTAAACAAACAAACCCAAACTACCAACTCATTGCTATTGAGTTGTTGCTGACTTAAAGCAACTCTATCAGACAGTAGAATTGCCCCTGCAGGTTTCTGAGACAGTAAATCTACTGGAGGAGAAAGCCTCATCTTTCTCCCACTGGTAAGTTTGAACTGCTGACTTCATAATAAACAACCCAACAAGTAACCACTCAGGAGGAGAAGTAGTTGGATTTATAAAGCAACATTTTTTTTCAGTTAATGGTGTTTGATTTCTTTTTGTCAAAAACCATTTTATTGGGAGCTAATACATAATAATGATCTCATATCATTCCATGGTTCAATCACATCAAGCAGTATTGTACAATTGCTGCCCCAATCAGTTTCAAAACATTCTCTTCCTTCTTGCACACCTTGACATCAGCTTCCTTTTACCACCCCCCCACCCCCCCATCTCTGTGCTCCACAGAAAACCTTATTTTCTTATTTACTTGCTGTCCTTATAGGTTTGTCAATCCTGGGTTTCATATACTGAAAAACAAAAAAAACATATAACAAAAATTCAAGAGGGACACCCCCAATTATCAAAATACATCTGAGATAAGCCCCAGTTGGCACAAACAGAATATACAGAAAATGTTGCAAACCCAATCAGGACCTAGATGTATCGAGGGTGGGTGGGTGGGAGGAGTTAACTGACAAGGTTTTAACCTTACAGGTCAGGTTTATTATTTTGATCTTCTATAGTCATCTCGCCAATGCATTTTGTTTGGTAACCAGTTTCTTCCCATCCTTCTATTATGGGTAGAGGGATATCACTGGAGACTTAGTTCCTATATAGAGCTCACAAATGTATTTTGGGCTCCCATTGTCATCAGACCCTTTTGCAAACCAGATTCTCACAATTTAGGCTCTGATGCTATTCCCTCCTTTATTTTTGGATTATGTGATATACAATCCGTTGGTCATTGATCTTGGTGTGCTTCTTCCATGTAGACTTAGTTGACATCCCACTGAGATGCCTTCTTGTTTGGAAACAAGCTTTTAGGACCCCAAATTCTATTTTATATGATAGTCAGGCACCATCTAATTTCTTAACCACACTTTGATACAGCAGCTATATCTTCTGTGTTCCCTTCCTGAGGGTGAGTATTGATCAGAGTCATGAAGTAAGAACTAATTGTTCTTAAATTGGAGCTAGGATTTTGTGCAAGCCCCAAACTCATTCCTGGATCTATGTTTATTATCTCCTTTTGTCTTCCTATCAAAACCTCGCTGTTAATTTATGGTAGAGAGTCTTAGTGATCATCTCCCTATAAAGCAACATTTTATCTTCCAATATCAGAGTTCAGTATTTTATAAAATATTTGTAAACATCATTTATTGTAAATGGCAATCGACCAATTTGTTTTTATCTTTGTCTGTTTTATAATAGACCTATGGATAAAGCCAACATTGGAAACAATTATACTATTAGTGGAAAAGCAAAAGAGACTTTGATATGAGTTATATCATCTTGATTTTGAAGATGCAATAATAATGTTTCCACCAAAAATATTGAATGGACTACTTTATCTTTCTGTTTACATCAATAGATTCAGAGACGATGGCGAGGCTATAGGATTCGGAAATATTGTTTTAATTATTATTACTTGAAGGAATATTTGAGAGCTGTTTCAGAAGCCAATGATGCAATCAGGTGAGTAGTCCATGAGTGAACATTCCAGAAAGATCAGTCAATAAATGTTAAGCCTTACCGTACTTGGAAGACTTCCTAAAATTCAGTTATATTTTAGGCAGCATTTTGTTGGCATGGTTTAGATATATAATGCTAGTTATCTTAAAAATGATTACTATTTTATTGCTTTACTTTTGTCTGCAAATTAGTCTACATGTATATCTTTCTCTTATCCAAAATAGTTTAGTTCCAGTAATGTCGTTATGTGGTGAAATTTCTATGTAAAGCTATTCCATAAATGAAACCTCGATGGTTTTGAACCTCAGCTGTATTTTCAGAAGCATGTTCAATAGCAAGAGCTATTGAGAGGGAAAAATAATTTGAAATAGATTGAAAGCGGCTGCTTTGCTGTTAGATTTTTGTTTAATTTAAAAACACAAAGTAAAACTGCCCTTCAGGCTACTGAATATTTTCTTTGTCTTTATGCAAATTAACAGTATTGCTTGGCTATTCAGTCAGCTTTCCAAAGTTCATTCTACCTTAAAAGTAGGGTGGTTTTGGGTTTTTTTTCTTGTGATGTTCCCCTATTCTATTAAGATATGTGAACACTGCCAGCAGTCATTTCGATGAGGTGGAAATAGTAATTGATAAGAAGAATCTCGGTGGGCACACTTGGCTGTTAAACCAGAGGTTGGCCATTCACTTCTACCTTGTGGCTCCGAGGGAGAAAAGACCTGATCACCAGCTCCTGAGACTGCAGCTCAGAAAACCTATTCTATGCCACATGTGTTCTTTATCAGTAAAAACTGATTTGGAAACATCTAAAAACCATATCATTAAAATTCATTTCAAAAACATGTCCACACATTTCACCCCTAACATTTTACAAACTACAAATAATTGTATATAAATTGTCCATAAATTGTCAAAATATAAACTTTTCCTGAAACCCTCAAGTGACGACACAAATAGCTAAACGTTAATTTCCCGAATCCCGTGTTGTGACGATAAAGAACATCTGGGTTTGGACGTGAAGAAGAGCTAAGGTGGTCAGCTGGCCTTTTCGCGGGTCGGAGGGGAGCAGCAACGCTTTCAGTGGAAGTTAGTCAGTGGGAGCAACTGGAAAGCTCTGAAGCACGTGGGCCATCAGGGACTGCGGTCTCATTTCTGCCTGGGAAATCTAAAGTTGTAGAGATGGGCGTTCTCTTTGCAGTTGACAGTTGAGCTCCTCAGGGAGAACCAGCTAGTAGAATGGGTAAGAGGGATGGGATCTGAGCAAGGCTGGATTAGGATGTGTCACACAATTTTAGGAGGCACTTCCACAACCCTCAGTGAATATATTCTGAAATTTTACATTTTGGGGCCTCACTTGCTTCACCCCACTCCTAGTCCTGGATAGGAGTAAGTCTTTATAAAGGTGTATAAGGGTGTTTTTTGTTGTTGTTGTTTTTAAGATTATTTTATTGGGGACGCTTACATTTCATAGCAGTTCATGCATCAGTTGTATCAAGCAGATTTATACATACATTGCCATCATTTTCTAAACATTTACTTTCTGTTTGAGCCCTTGGGATCAGCTCTTCATTTTCTCCCTCCCTCCCCCCTCCCACCCTTGTGACCCCTTATAAATTATTATTATTTTCATATCTTACACCGATCACTGTCTACCTTCACCCATGTTTCTGTTGTTCGTCGCCCTGGGGGTGGGGGTGTATGTGTTGATCATTGTGGTCGGTTCCCCAGGAGGGTGGTTTTGAAGTGGGCTGAATCTTCTATTCTGTGGGTATTTCAATGAACCCTTGTTTTCTTCCTGACTTTAACGAGGTTGTCTCTTGTCCTTGAGAGAGTATTGTATCTGTGCTGACAAGTGCGTTTCAGACTAGTGTTCTTTATCAGGGTAAAGAGTTGTCTGTCCTGTCATTTCTATATTATAGTTTTTAATCCACAAATGAAATTTGAATATAACAAATGCTTTTTGCAGCATCAACTAAAATGATTGTTCATAAGGCTTTGTTGAAGTTATTGACACTTTTACTAATATTTTTTTGATTTATTACTGACTGATATTAGTATTAGATTAAGGGTATGTATAAGCACTGAGACTGATTCTTGGTAAAGCAGAGAGCAATGCGAAAGAGAAGGAAGCTGTTTGAGATTTACTGACACAGTACAACCATGGTCTTAAACATAGCAGTTGTGAGGGTGGTGTAGACTGGACAGTGTTTCGGTCTGTTGTGTACAGGGTCCTTCTGAATTGGAACCAACTCAACAGTTCTTAACAATAATAATATACATCCACATTTGCAGCAGCAATTGCTTGTCATTTTCTTATGTTGCAATTGTCACAACTCAGTATATGTTTGTTATGTTTATTAGATAAATTGAACAGATTATATGACATGAATATTAGTGTTCATCAATAGTTTTCAAGAGAGAGTTCGTGAAACTCTCTGACTCTAGATTATTTGGTGAAGGTAAATTTTTGTTAATATTTCTAATTTCCTTAATAAGTAAATCTATATTTTAAAGGATAATGTCATAATATTATTTTCATCATATTATTTATTCTTTAATTGAAGTGCCTTTCTTTATAATACATGTCTTACATTTATATTTTATAAACTATATCTCTTTTTTTCCTCAAAATGAAGTCATAATAATTGTAGAAGAACTGAGTAAAAATGATAAACAAAAAATTCATCCAAATCTCATCACTTGAAAATAAATACTATTAACATTTTTATGTCTAATTTTTCAGATCACTTATTGTGTTAGTCCAGGTAGACTAGAAAAACAAATTCAGGGAGACTCATGTGTCTAAGAAGGAGCTTTACATACAAGAACAATTGACTATTGAGAAAACATCCCAGCCCAGTCCAGATCAAGTCCGTAAGTCCGATATTAGCCCATGTGACTGATATCAAGTCCTCTTCAGACTCATGCAATACATGCAATGACGCTGAATGCAGGAAGATTGCAGGCCAGGGGTTGGAAAATCTTGCAGATCCAGTGGTAGTGGAAGCATCTCAGTGCTGGCAGGGGTTTCCATGTGGCTCCTTCAGCTCCAGAGCTCTAGTGTAGTGCCTTGTGTCTTATCCTCAGGAATGTCTCATAGGGAGTGAGCATGAGTCCTGCCTCCAGTGAGCTATTTATCTTCTTAGCACCTCCAAATGAGGTCATCAAGCTGCGACCTGATTGACAGGTTAAACACCACCCCTTCATGTTTAAGTCTAAAATTGACAACAGATTATGTAACTACCACACTCATACTTAATAGCTGCATGATTTGGGGAAAAGTTTTAAAATATTGTTATATAGTTGATTATTTTACTTCTATGCTTATACATCTGACAAAAATGACTTAATACAATGTGCAGTTGGTAAGCTTTTGTCTTATAATTAACCAGAGATTATGAACATTTTCATGTTGACAAATTTATATGACTGTCATCATTTATGACTAATTTTTAAAATTTCTTATTGTTCTATTTTTTTTGGCACTTTAAAGCACTTTGGAACATTTCCATTCTGCTACTTAATGTGAAGTTTCTTTTAGTTCTTGCTACATTCAGTATTGCCCACTTCCCACATATTTGATAATACAGTTTTCTCATTTCTGTTTGCATTTTTTTATTCCTTTATTGAAATGTATTTTTTTCAAGCCCCAGCTTTGGGGGTTTTTCTTGTATTTTAAACATTAAACAAATTATTTCTATTTTTTCATGGTGTTGATTGCACTCCCCACAACATAGCATCATTCATCGGAGTTACTCTCCTGTTTCCTGTCCCCATTCCTCCTTTCCTGGCCCGTCTGAACCTTGTCTTATGCTGCCCTTGTGATCTGTCATGGAGGATCGTTCTGAAGCATGTGTACCCCCTAGTGTTATTGTTCCCCTTTTAGATCTATTGTGTGACTGAAAATTGATCCATGGGAGTTAGCCTGGTCTTAGTTTTTAATGATTTTCAATTCTGTTCCACACTTCCTTCCACTCTATCCAGGACTTTCTAATGTGGTCCCTTTCAGAGCAGTTAGTAGTGGTAGTCGGGCGTTACCTAACTCTTCCAGTCGCAGGGTGGTGGGGACTGATGTTTGCATCGTGATCCTTTTGTCCACTGGACTAGTTGTTGCCTCTCATCTTTGATTGTTTCCCCTCTTGATTCAGGCACGCCCAATGGTTGTATCTTAGGTAGCCACTTACAAGTTTCTAAGACCCCAATAATTATGCCCCAAAGCAGGATACAGAATATTGTCTTTTGTGGTATTATATTATATTAATATAATATTATATTAATACTGATGATCATAGTGTTGCCCAATAACTCAATTTTTGGCTATGTATAAACTTTTAAAAACATTTTCTCATATATGCTCCATTGTATTCATCATCCACAGATTTTTAATTTCATGACTATATATTTAAATTTTTCTAGGTTACTTTTGAAATTTTTATTCTATCTCCATTTTCCATATGCACTTGTGTTTTAGTTTCTATTTTCCAGTTAATTTTTAAATATTTAAAACATGCTAGATCCCCGTTGAAGGACATCATGCTTGGTAAAGTGGAGGGGCAGTCATTAAGAGGGAGGCCCTCAATGAGATGGATTGACACTGTGGCTGCAACAGTGGGCTCTGGCAGAGGAACAATTGTAAGATGGCATAAGACCAGGCAGTGTTTCATTCTGTTGTGCATAGAGTGGATATGGTGGTAACCGCTGATGGAACCTAACAAAAACAGATCCCCGATTGGCACAATCAGATCCCTGATTGGAGTTGGCTGTTAAGTTGTTTGTTTGAATCTCTCCAGCTGTGCCAGAGGAAAAAGACTTGATAGCACTGTAGCCAAGAAAACCCTGTGGATCTCAGTTCTGCTCGTAACATGGATTTGCCTCGTGTTTGAATGAATTCAATGGCAAAGGGTTTGGTTTTGGTTTTGCTGTTGCTTTTAGGTATAAAATGTCTTTCAAATTTCCTTATTTATATTTCTTGGGGTGAAGATATTTCTGTTTGTTTTTTCCCTATC